TATTACGGCTTGGCGGCAGAAATATTTACGGTGGTCGTACTCCCCTGGACGAGCTCTTTGACAAAGAGCTCTTCTACTACCGTGCTCTTTTTACGATTACCGAAACAAACTATGTATGTACTCGTAGTTGATATAGTAGGTTTTATGAACAACTACTTAACTACTAAGAAAATAACTACTCAAAACGAAAAAAAAAATTAAATTCACAGAATAAGGATTGTTTTTGTTCAATATTTATTTACTTATGATAGTTTATAATAAGCACCAATACACCTAAATTAGGCTCGAAAAAATATTTCAATTGACATGGAAACATGAATCATGTACCATAGCAATAACGTTCGGACTCATATTCCACGCAGTTTGTACATATATCAATATTTTTCGCATCGAATACTTTAACATGCGTGGACATGCCATTAAGGGTCCATATCACAATACACCTTATGGTTTGACATCACATTAATTTCAATGACTGACGTACGTTGCAACATCGATTAATTACGTCAGTTTAAGACAACGAAAGTTTATGACAAAAAAATATTTTCATTATATTTTGCAGTTGATGTCCCGGGCTGTGCTACCACAAGGTAATAAATAGCTGAAAAGCAGAGCAGAGAGATTTTGTTGGCTTGCTGCAGCTAATACACACTGTTGTCCTTTTATTAATTAGGTATGAGTTGTTTGTTACACACATACGTATGCGTATTTGTAAAATTTCTTTATTTTTCTGTTTTTTTAAGTAGCAGTAGGGCTCCTTGTAAAAGAGTTTGTCCAGGGAAGTACTGTCCTATACTACCTATTTCTGCCGCTAAGCAGTAATGTAAGCGTTACTGCATTCCCGTTTTAAAGGGTAAGGGTCCTAATGAAATAGCAGGCACACAATTTTGTCAACCTAAGAGTATGTCTCAGGGTGTCGGGTGCGGTGGTAGTGCCCCTCAGATCTTTCCGATTTGACTCTCTAAGTGAGTAAGAGAATAAGTGAGTCGCGACTATTTTTGTTTTCCAAAAGGTCCATAATATAAACTGGGAAACAGGGACTCCCTTAAAAAAAGTTCACAGAGAATTTTAATTGTATTTTATATGTCCATCAAAACATTACTGTATTTAAGAAACACAGCGATATACACAAATGTAATACTAGAAATAAAGATAAATTATTCATGCTTCAATACCGATTGCAAAAAGTTAGTAATTATTTTATGCGACAACGAATTACATATATCAATAAAGTTCCGATCGAAATTTCATATTTACCATTTTATAAGTTTAAGGCATGTGTTAAAAACAAACTTCTGGCGAAAGGGAAATATCGTTTTGTTACCTACTTACCATTTATTTGACATGTCTTTTTTGTAATCTATTGTATGATTTGGACTATTCAAAAGTGCTTGTGAGTCAGGCTTACTTGAATAAAACTTTATTATTATTATTATTATATTATCATTGCAACTGCTATGAAAAGGGTGTCGTTTACCACCATGTGTACGACTTGTTCGTCCCGTCACTTGCTAAAAAAATAGTTTACTTTTATTTTGCGTTCCATTTACTTGCAAACGTCATATCGACTAATCTAACTAAACAGTGCCTCTTTGGATTTAGTTGAAGTGCCGTATCTATTAACTAAATCATCATTGTAACATGATATCACGATCTGTTTTGATATGTTTTGTTAAAGTCCAGTCAAGAATATAATTAACAAATCAAGAGAAACAAACATTTCGTGATCCATTCGTATAATGTTTCACGGTGTACAATTTGCGTTAGAAATGAGATTTTGGATAAAAAGTAGTTTCATTAGAAGCTATTGGCTCAAGAAATTGCTAGACTTGCGGAAACTTTCAAGCAAACGAGAAAGAGACAAATTTAAAGCAAATATTCTTCAAGACGTTCTGATTGATTTTCACATTAAACAAGTAGTATAAAACAAAATAAATCCGACGATAGACGGACACTTGAACTGACAAAGCACCTTGACAATGGAAAATAATTGTATATGAACGCGTTCACAATACATTGCTACCTTTCTCCTGTCTTTCAACGGAATGTTTAACAAAATTGTCAATCTATACAGAACGAAGGTCAAGAAGTGAAGATGAGACGAGGAACTAGTTTCTTGGGCGCGGGGTGCGGAGGGATGACGTCATAGGAGGCTGCGTGTATATAGGAGATGCGCACGCGTCGCCGCCGTTTGTACAAACTGTGAGATTCAGTGCCATAGTTACTATGCTTCGTTTTGTTACTATTTTCGCCGCTGTGGTAAGTTTAAATCTATAGTTAGTTACCTTACTTTAAACTCGGTACATTATAAGTATTTTTGATAATGTTAATCAGGATCACAAAATCAAATTTTACCTCTACGTGTAGGTATAGTTTCAATCGTCAATAATCCCATCGTTATTGAAAATTTCGATTTTGTAAATGTTTTCGTTCTTTCTTTTATGTGATGACAACGTAGTGTGATAGCCGTAAAATCTAAGTAAGTAAGTAATTTTACTTAATTCAACAACAGGATGAAGTATTTGTGAGGTTTTGACTTAACTGTTACGGAAGTTCTACCTAAAGGATGGAAATTGGAAAATTATTTAACTAAACTATTTAGATTTTATAAAATCAGAATTAAACAAACGTTACAGACCAAGCGTTGCTATTAAAATAGTTTTTATATTAAATGTAATGTCGTTTTAAAACACGTCAAGACGGCGCAAAAAATCTTAGACCACAATAACTCCCAACATATATAATGTGAAAAAGAACCTATAGTCAATTTTATGTTTTAAAAACATGTTTTATGTTTTTTAATTATTTTACAAGTTACCACGTTAAACTGCGCCATGATCACGATATATCGCACATGACAAGTAACACATGAATATCTCAAAAATTGCGTTATTTCAAAGTGACAGTGTTGTCCAGACACTTTGAAATGAAATCGTATGCGAATGACATATAATGCAATTTTTGAATTTTTTTATGAAACCAAATGACAGGACGAACAAGTCGTTCGCCTGGCGTTAAGCGACACGCTTGTCCATAGCAGTTGTAGTGCCACTAAGACCTTTGCGATTTAAAGCTCTGAGTGGCACTGCAACTGTTATGGATAGGCGTGTCGCTTACCATCAGGACTTATTCGTCCCGTCACTTGGTATTATATAAAAAAAACTACGAAATAAGATTATAAATGTTTTAAAACCAATTTCCGAATTAAAAGAAAACGATAATAATCCCTTAAAGAAATTCGCATCCCTCCTGGAAGAATAGCATAAGTGGAATTACGTCAAACATGTTTAATGCTCCATACGATACAGAAAAATATAACCCACATTCTCTCCAATTCTTGTAACTCTATCTACAATATTAGTCGCCAGAGTTACAAGAATTGGAGAGGATGTGGGTTATATCTAATGGCGCAATAAACGTTTTTGACGTAACTCCACTTATTCCATTCTTTGAGGGGTGCGAATTGTAGAGTTCGTAAAGAATAAAGACGTGTTAATGAACAATATATATGTAGATGTAAATAAGTGGTGCTTTAGAGGCGATGATTTCATTTGTTTTATTTCCATGCAATTTTCTCGGCTGTCATTTTTTGGTCGCCCAACGATGGAATTAATTTTTGCGTAAGTACGCAATTTATTTATAGTGTAGTGCCACGATTAGATACTGTTGTTATAGTGCGAGTATAAACACCAAAGCAAATGATTAAATATTATTACGATGCGAATTTTTTCGCGACTCTACTTTTTGCTCGAATAACTTGTATTAAACAACTGGACATATTTCTAGCGTTTATTAAATTATTTAATCATTAGCTAGTATGTCCTTCTTATTATAAATAACGCATTCGCATTTTGGTAATTTTCGAGATGGGCACTAAGTTTTTTTTTCTTTAAAAAATTTTAATTAAGCTGATTTTGCATAGTGCAATAAAACTGAAACTAAATAAGATATTAAAACACCGCTTATAGGTGGTTGTAGATCCCATTCTTTGTCCTGCAGAAACGTGCGTTTAGGCCAATTTACAATCTGGTACCCCAGATTGTCTACGAGAGACAAGTCTAAAGAGATTAACATTCTTACACTATCGTCACAGTACATTTGTGAAAATGTTATTTATGTTAACAAGGGAAGTACTGCCATCTTACCTATTTCTACCGCCAAGCAGTAATGTTAGCATTACTGCGATCCGGTTTTGAAGGGTAAGGGTGCCGGTAAAATTACAAGCACATGGGACTTGTCAACTTATGTCTCGTGGTGGCGGGCGCAGTGGCAGTGCCCCTCAGATCTTTGCGATTTAAAGCTCTTGGGTGGCTCTGCAACTGTTAAGGACAGGCGTATAGCTTACATCAGGCACACGACTCGTTCATCCCGTCACTTGATATTATAAAGAAAGGAAAATATTATTCTTTTTTATGAAAAATAGTGACAGACCTAACGTTAGCACGAGGAATAAAAATAAACTAGCCGTTTTTTACAGTCGTCTTCACAAAGTCTCATTTAAGGGGCAATGTATACGCTTCTATAATAAGATTCCGATTAATATTCAAAACTTGCCATTTACGAGGTTTAAAACTATAGTGAAACAAAAACTTTATACTAAAGATTATTATTATACGGCTTCTGCGTACTTGGATGACAAAAATTCCGTAGTGACCCGTTTAGCACTTGCATGGAGTCTCGATCTAAGATGTTTAAATTAAATATTGTAAGTGATAAATGTATTCAAATGTACATTTACAAAGAGTAACCCCTAGAGTTTCTTGCTCATTCTTCTCAGGGGAATCTGCCTTATTTATGACTAAGCAGTAGAGCTTAGTTAGTATGATGATTTTAAGTGTAATTTGCTTACATAAGAATTAAAGATTATTTGACTATAACAGATACGCTATTGACTCAATTTTCGCTAAAAATGTCGATTGTGCTTATTATGATAATGAGGTAGCTTTGTCTTAATAAGTTTTTAAATATTTTATTTTTATTGATTGTCATGACGTTTTTACCTTCTTCTTCTTAGCGTGTCGACTCTGACGTTTATACTTGCGAGGACCAGTACTCAACGACTGACACAGCTTATCAGTGGCGTTGTACAGGTCCTCGCGTGTGCAGGTGTAGGGGCATGCAGGACAAGACAAAATATGTGTCATAGTCTGGGGAGTGACACCACAAATACATGCGCTCCCAGAGCTATAACCCCACCTGTGCATGCTCTCCTTGCTTCGGCCGACTTGGGTCTGCAGTCTATTTAAAGACTTCCAAGTGTGCCAAGGTAGATTATGCCCAGGAGGGAGGTGCTCCGATAGCGGAATGAGTGATGCCGTGGGGTATCTATTTCTTTACCACCATGCCATTATCTACTTTTTGTGAAAATACTTCACTGCTTTGTTATTATTATTGATACAAAGACTGAACAAACTCAAAAACAAACTTTCGACCCGACTGGACTCCAAGCTGCAACTGTTGCCTCAACGTGGCTATATGTATTAAGTATATAGAAGCTGGATAAAGCGGTCCTAGCTTCGATTTCTGACAGCACCAATTTGGTAAATTAACTTTTAATGATTCTGATCTGTTTGTTCTGGGTAATGCTCCGGGGTAAGTGAACCCCGTGGCTCTGGTTTGAGAGCCTGGTCGGTTTTTTGACACATATATTTTAGGAAATGAAACTATTTTTCCGGATTTAAATCGCGTATATTTGTTTTTTCCAACAAACCGACGTTTCGGGCCCCTTACAGGTCCCATGGTCACGGTTGACTGTGACTATGTTTAACAATCGCGAAAACCTAAGAACTCGATACATTATATTTTATTATATTGTTTATGATATCGAGACGAACGAGTCGTGCGCCTGATGGTAAGCGACACGCCTGTCCATAACAGTTGCATTTCATTAAGTCATCGTATACAATTATTCAAGAATAGACGTTGTGATAATTATCGTATACACACATGCTTTGCCACACGTGAGTTGACTGGTACACATGATGGATTAAGGTTGTCCGTCATTGGGCTTGTTTTATTGGTGACGAAAAACTATTACAACCTGCAACCTTATTTATATAACTTTCTGTTATATGTTATTCTTATTCTTGTTAAGAGAACTTTAGTATATTTGTTACTAGCCGGTGCCCGTGACTTCGTCTTTAGTTTAAGTACTTCTAGTAATCTACTGCACTATAATAATTTTCAATTTATTGGTTCTCCATACAAACTTTTATCCCCTTTAAGATTTATTTTTGTGACAAAAAGTGGCCTTTTCCTAGGTCCCAACCACCTCTTTACCAAAATTCATCAATATTCTTTTAGTGGTTTAAACATGAACAGACATGGTCGTATTCTAGAATTCTACTCAATGCTCAAGTCAGGATTGCACTGGAAATACGACCCTAATGGCAGGGACCTGAGTATGATTTCGAGTGCTTTAAACCATACTCAAATCCTGACTTGAGCATTGAGTAGAGTTCTAGAATACGACCCTCAGTTACTTTCGCATTTATGACATTAGTCTGGATTATGTGTAAAATATAAAAGTATAGTGGGGAAAAAAGGACAAAAATAATTTACCTCGTTTGCTTCCTTGTCTCGCATCAATATTTTCATACAAGACAGTTTTATTCTTGGTAATACTGGTAGACTTATAATGGCAAATATAATAAGTGAATCTTGTGTTGTGTAAGACGATGTAGTGACTAGAACAGAAAAGGAAAAATGTCGATGGTTTGGTCGTACGGTACAAAGATACAAATTTCTAGAGCGACCTTGGGAGGATATTCTCGAACTCCTCGGGATATTCTGATTAATGATTGACAAACTAATTAGAGAAAGTATTTATACAAATTATTTTCGTTAAGTCAAGATTTCTTTAAATCACTTCATCTTTTATAAAAACAAACCGTAAGGGCACATTTATTCGCACGAATTTCAACGCGCCCACCCCGCGCGGTCGCCGAGCGGAGTCCGCGTTTACGCCGCGCAGCGACCGCGTGCGTCTAACTATCATGGCAAATTACGCTCTATTTATTTAGTTTTTATGTTTTAACTTAAATGAGCGTCCCGGGCACGCGGGCGAGACTGGCTTGATTCTTGGTCTACGCGGCGCAGCGGTCCGGCGACGACCGCGCGGTTGTACTATTCAGAGGAATTTAAATGTTGTTGCTAGGAAATAGAATTCAGATTCGCCATTAATGTACATGAAGGCGTGGTAACTGGGTGGTCGTCGCGCGATAACTCTCGCCTCGTGTAACTGGGCGTTAAAAGTCATGTGACATTCTACTGCGCAACAGTACCTTGTATTTTTTATATTTTCTTCCCACGAAATGAACTTACAATTAATTACAATAATTTGGTATAGAACTGTAACATTTTTCACATTATTTTTGATTACTGAGCAAGTAAGATTTTGACAATATTGTCAAAGATAATGTTACGAAATCAAATGTCTATGTAATTTTTTCATGATTATCTCTTTTCTTATTATTTCCCACGACTTCTGGGAATTGTATAAAGTTGACACATGCTTTCAATTTGACACGTACTTTTTCTGTTAACTTAAGGAGAACAATTTAGAAAGGAGAGTTTAGTTGTTTCCATGTACTGTACAGTAACACTCCCTAGTGTTTTATAGTGTTATACTTAATCTATCGTTGTACTTGTTTTTATATTGTTTATTTTAAACCGACATAAAAAAAAGGAGGAGGTTACGCGATAACTCCGATAATTTGTGAACCGATTTAGATGACTCTTTTTTTTGTTGGAAAGAGTGTACTTCAGTATTCGTCCCATTTATATTTGAAGAAAATATTCCTATACCTCTAAGGGTGGTAAAACTAGGCGATGAATCCGGCTTCGCGTACTTTCCGGTAACAGATTTTAATAAAATCTGCCAAAATAGATGTAATTCCATGAACTTTTAAGGTCGCTTTTTTTAGCACTCTGTATTGAGATTATTGTTACAGCCTGTTCCCTTTCTTTTCCTCTTACTTATAATAAATTTAAGTAGACCGAGCCTTCTCTTTATTTACGTTCAACCAACGTGACACGCTGCTTTTTATCGCGGATTTTTTATTTTGCCGTCTAGTTAAAATTCTTTAAAAAGCATCCGTCGTAGGCTCTGTTGTCTACTGATTATTACCCGTCAAACTGATGATGGTGCAACCAAATATGGGCTTCGTATGCGTTTAAGAGACAATCAAGTATGCAGCTTGCATCGTAGATGGAATGCAAGCTCGACTTCCTGGTGAAAGAATGCTTTTAAACACATAAGGAAACATAGTTGTTGGTGCATGATTATCATTTGAAAATATACTTTTTGTTAACGATAACACGTTATATGATATTTTATTTTAATGCAATATATTCGTAATGCGTTTCAAGAAATTTAAATACATTCGTGAGTTTACGACGTGAATAATTTAATAAGAGCTTATAAGCACTTAGTATATAAGTAAATATTATCAAATTCAAATTCGAATTCAAAATAATCTTTATTTCATAGGTAAACATGATTACACTTGAAATCGTCACAATGGTTAAACTCTACCGCTCATTCGTAAGGCAGATTCCCCTGAGAAGAATGAGCAAGAAACTCTAGGGGTTGCTCTTTGTAAATAACATTTACAATGTTTATTTTTTTTATTTGAAACATCAGAGATCGAGACTACCTCCATGAGCTAAACGGGTTACTACCACGTATTTTTGTCATCCAAGTACGCAGAAGTTGTATAATAACCTTTAGTATAAAGTTTTTGTTTCACTAAGTTTAAAGTTTAAGTGTAAAGTTTTCGTATCAGTATATACATGTTATATAGATTATAATATAATGTTAATAATCGGTTTCTCGTAAAAATAATTATACGTTCACTTAAATTACATTACGTGAACGTTTAAAAACAATAAATTAACTATTCAATTAAATCAAATGGTTGTAGTTTAACGTTTTCCTAAATGAATAATTACAAACCACGCCGTTCTACGTGTTAAAATTTGTTCATCAATTAGATCATAGCTAAAATTAATGCTATTTTGTAACAGAAAACAAAAAATAGCAACATATTATTTTTTGTCTGCGAAGATGAACATTAATAAATCGTGTATTTCGTTATTCATAAATAATTCACTATATAATTCATAAAGTCGTAATCCAAAGTAATATTATAAATGGGAAAGTAACTCTATCTGTTACCAAATTAGATGAATTTTGGTATATAGATAGATGGGACCTAGGAACCTTTTCCTACAGGGGACATGGGTTACTTTTTGTCACAAAAATAAATCTAAAAGTGGGTGAAACAGGGGATGAAAGTTTGTACGAACAACCAATAATTTCTCAAGTATGGGATATGAAAATTCGTAATGAAATATGATATTAGTACAATAGACAACTCGAAGTAGTTTCTACGCAGACGACTTCGCGGGCACCAGCTAGTTTTATAATAAAAATGTACTTTAATGTCGCCAAAAACATTTTATTTTTAACATTTTATTGTCTGTTATTATTGATATAAAAATCAAAGAAAACAAATAAAAAATTCTTCGATCTAACTGGACTCGATTACTAGAGTCCTATTCTGGGTTTTTTTATGATTTCAAGTAATGGGACGAAAAATTCGTGTACTTGGTGATAAGCAACACGCCTGTCTTATGGACTCTTATGAACTTTGAATGGCAAAAATCTGAGGGGCACTGCCACTGCGCTCGTTACCCTGAGACAAGTCTTTCTTCCTTCAAAAGCGGAACAAACGAACTTGGCGGCAGAAATAGGTAATGTGGCAATACTTCCCCTTCGACGAACTCTTTCACAAGAAGCTCTACGGCTACTTGATTTGATTCTAATTCTTAGTAGGATTTCAGTCTTAGTAGGATTTTTTCTTGTTGTTAAATAAAACGCAGGCTAGAAACTTAATTTTTTATATATTCGTAACACAGCGATGCACACTTGTATGGAACAGGGGTTTGAGTAGAACATATATTTTACAAATATTGCCTATAATTGTAACAAAATAAAGATTTTTGAATGTTTATTTAATGTTCAATTTATTAATTGAACTCTTGTTATTACAATTTACGGTTGGCACTGGGTTGAGCTAACATAGACCCGTTTTATCGTAGCCCAAGTGTTTTAAAGTTGTAAAACCCACTAACAAATATT